AACCCTGACGTAGACGAGCTACTGGAACGTCTATTAACGGTTTCCATTTCTGCGGCTGATGTGACCATCTTATGCCACCACTGTCACTTGAGATGGCAAGCAGGAAACTTAATCTTGCGACGTCTTTGCCATTTCTTGTTCAGTTATTTTATATAAAGTAAAAGAAATATAAAATATTAAAAACTATAATAAACTAAAACTAATAATTTCAATTATCACACAGTCCTACTCCCCGTGGTATCGCGCCAAAAACGCTGGCTGTGTAAAAAAAATATAAATAAAAATATAAAAAAATATAAAGTAAAAGTAAAGTTACAGCACAGAATAAATATATACGTTACTACTGGCAATATACGTCTACTGCCGAGCACAGGCCTTTTATTGAGAGCATTAAAAATAAAAAGCATATGGCCTTCTTCTTCAGTTCATGTAAAAGCACTTCACGTATCTTTGAGCTATTCTTATTTCTCAGACTTAAAGGTCTCTCTGTTTTTTTTTACATACCGTAAATCAGCATTCAAGATTTAACAATTTCATTGACGGCGACGGAGATCGAACATGAGGATCCGATCAGAAATAATTTTAGTCCGTTGTGACATCATATTGTCATATCAGGTTATCATAATTCCACTACTGAGCTTGCACTTTGGATGGCCCCAAAGCATGAGACATAAGCCATCTTTATCCACTTTTGCCAACAACGTCATGCATAGAGTTTATTTCTCATGATCATTTCAATAATCGTCAACTTCATTGTCATCAACATAATTTCGGCCTATAATTACGGTGCGCTAAGACTCAGACCGAGTTTTTGCTACAAATCACGGTCTAGTGACCTTTATATCTATCAACTCTTTGCATGTTTTGTCAGGTCGTCACTATATGCTAGTGGTGGTTTGCCCAACACTGCGTTAGCTATTACGAGGCTGCCATGTTTTCAATACTATAACTTACCTACTTTTCTACCGACTTCGAAAAGGAGCCGGTACTCAATTCGACTGTATGTTTTTTTTAATGTGTGTTACCTCATAACTTCTTACTGGGTGAACCGATTTCGATGATTTTTTTATTTGAAAGCTGGTGCTTCACATGTGGTCACATATAAATTTGATTAAGGCCTGACCAATAGTTTTTGAGTTATTCTTAATAATTTATATTGAAGTCGGTTGTACATTTAATTTTAAATTATTAACATCAGTGTGCTCAAATGTATTGTGAAATTATATCGATTTTATAGCTTTATTGCGAAATTGTGGAGAATTGTGTAAAATCACGTCAAATGAAAATTTAACGACATAAAATAAATTTCCTCTGTGATGTAAGGACGCGATGAAGTGAATGTAATTTTCTTTCTTTCTTAAGAAATATTTCGAAGTGGTACGTTAAAGTTAATTATTTCATCTTATTTAACGATGCACTTTATTCATATACTTGTAATATTTAAAAATCCTTCAATCTTTATATTTTACACATTTTTTCAATGTGTACGTGTAGCAACAATAACTCACTCGCACAGCCAGAGAATACTCATAGACGGCTCCATGGCGCAGTGGCTTAGCAATTAGTTGCAGCGCTGCGCTGGCGGCCGCGGGATCGAATCCCGCACGGAAGAAGTATTTGTATGGCCTACAAATAATTTTTCCGGGTCTGGATGTTTATCCTTGTGCAATTTATGTTTGTAAACTGCCTCCACGATACAGGATAAAATCCTAGTGTAGGGGTAACGTTTTTTTTTTAGAAAAAAAGAAGAAGTACTCCGCAATAACATAGTAATAGATAAATATTTACCTGCATACAAATATTATATCTTAATAATTATGTATCTCAAATTTATTTTTATTTACTTTCAAACATAATTTCCGAAATAAATGTGTTCAGGTTAGTTAGCGCTTAGTTAAGCGTCTCCCACACACAAGCGGCTTGCGGTGGCGGCCGCGGTGGCGGCCGCGTTGGCGGCCGCGTTTGCGGTCAATTGTATTCGCTCGCAATATAAGTGAGTCTGCAAAGTGGTGCGGCCATGTCACGATCTGCAAGCGGCTGGCCGCGGCCGCATGCCCCGCCCCATCTGCCAGCGCGTGTGTGTACGCGAGTACGCGGCCAGTCGGTGGCCGCAGCGCGATCAGTTGCAAATTTTTACAACAGGCCGCGTGTACCGCGTGAGAAATGGTGCTAAATTCAGATATTTTAATAGAAACAGTGCAAAATTATCCAGTACTTTATAATAATTGGCATCGTGATCAGAAAAGCATTAGGATTAAAAACAAAATATATGATAATATTTCTGAATATAACAAGACATCGTCACGGTTTGTCATGTTTACTGGCGTCCGATCGTAGCACAGACACCACACTAATGGCGCTTCAGGTCGCCACTGCGACCGCGGTGGTGTGTTGTTGAAGCGGCTGGGGCCGCGGCTCGCGGTTAGCCGCCACCGCAAGGCGCTTGTGTGTGGGAGACGCTTTAGTGAGTAACGCGATTGAAGAAGGTAAATAAGGGCTCAGGAATATGATAACGCTGCAACCATGGCAGAAGTTCATGGTGGCGTACAAGTCAAAATCAAAGAACGCAATTCCAAAGCATTGTTTACGCCTTGTGATAAAGCTACATGGAGTGCACTCATATGGGAGCGTTAATTCAAGTTTAACTTTTATCGGAATCGTAGAAAGAGTTTACATTATAATCCACACATCGATGGGAAATTTTAATGAAAAGTGTAGGCGTATCCGTAGAAGGACTATTAGAGACAAGATGGAGTGATTATCACGACGCTGTTAAACCACTGCAGGATAATTTTGAGAAATTTGTATCAATGTTCGAAGATTAATGTGATCCGCAGGGAAAACGTCGATACAACAGAAGCAGCATCTACACTCTTACCAGTTTTGTGTGACTTCAGTTTTTTATGCTATCTTTCCTTTTGGAGTGAAATCCTAAAAGAAGTTAATCAAACGCAAAAGTAAATACAAACATCTGAACTATCACTGGAAAAATGTGTGGTAGAAATCAAAGCACTAAAATTTTTCTTCCAAGCCAATATATTGAAATAATGGAAAAAGCTATTTCCTACCCAAAAAAAAAAAATATGTAAGGACTTGGACATTTCAACTGAAGGAAGAAGAGGAAGGAGGAGATTTCTAAAACGTTTGCCAATAGAAATGGTCCGATATGTTGGACTAACATTGGCAGAGAAGCTGCAGAGATAGCTCTCTCGATGTTAGAACGTCTTGACAGATTTTACTAAAACCAGACCTTCGTTACAGGGCAATGGTTGATATTGTGATAACATTTAGTGTTGATCAGCCTTACACTCTGCTAACATCACCAGAAGAAGATCTTCGTCTAATACTTCCCAATGTGACATAAATCTACGATGAATTTTCAACAGAAGACATCATTTTGGAGATTTTACCACTTGGAAGCCGCCAGCATTTCTTCCCAAGAAGCGGTTTAATGTACTTTATTGGAGCTTCTCAGATTCATCGTAAAACGGGCCTATTCTGAATCTGTTCCGAATCTAGTGCTGTGTCTAAGATTTTATTTTTACTATTTATGTTTCGGTAGCTTCATGTGAAAGAAGCTTTTCAAAACTCGAGTTAATAAATTCTTACTTAAGGTCCACAATGAGCCAAGTGCGACTAACGAATCTTTCCATTTTATCTATCGAAAAGGACAAGAAAGATAATGCTGATAATATATTAGAATATTTTGGCACAATAAAGTCCCGTTAGCATGATTAGCATTTTTGTTTTATTTTGGGGGTAGCTTGATAGAATACCGCCCGGGGTGTCAACCCACGCTACGCCGCCACTGGTGTTGGTATTGTGATTTTTACAACTTCACCGGAACAGACATTTGCATATGAAGGTAATATAAATCTATAATGTCTAAAATCTACGATAATAAAATTTTGCAGTTGTGCGCGCATTACAGAAAAACTACTCGATACATTTCAATTAGGTTTTCTAAGTTTTATTTCTTAGACACTTGTCCCTTATCTAAAAAAAAAATGTTGTGATATCTTTATTTAATATAAACTTATTAAAATTTTAAGAAACGAGGTTTTTTATACGGGGTTTTTTAAACGGTCAATTACTGTACGTCGCTTGCTCTCGTGTTACTAACCTAGATATTTTAATATTATATCAAGCAACGCGAACGAAGTCGCGGGTATCAGCTAGTTTAAAATAAGCACAAACTTTTGCATGATTATATCAAGTACTGGAAAATCACGGCTACCGTTGCAGCCTATTAAAATTCCACCTTTTAACGTAGGCCTCTCCCATAGATTGCATCATATTTGCCACAGTTGCCACGCTCGGTGGGCGGATTGACTAAAGCATTTTTTTATTATTTAGTTGTTATTAGCTGCTGCCCGTGTCCTGGTTTGTTTCCCTCTGCCGCCTTTTACGACACCCATGGGTCATTATAGGGTAGTGGATATACTTACACCGCCACTACACGGCTCAGTCTTATTTATTAATAACATTATTGATCGGATTGTTTATGATTAGTAAGAGGTTATTTGGTTTCCGGATCCAAGATATACTGGAGTTGAATGCAATGAATGACAACCTCGCACGGGATAAATTGAAAGGAAAATAATTCGGACCGGAGCTATTTTGTAAGATCTCTGTTCTCTCGTATGTATCGATCGATATATTCAATATCGTAAATTCATTCCCTCCAGAAGCCAATATTAAGTAAAAACGAACTATTATTTTATTGTGATTGGCTGTAGAGGTAGTGAGTAGTGAATATTAGCGTGGAAATATTTATGTGTTATTGTTTATATGTTTTTTTACTGTCTGTATTACCTACTAAAATCGACATAATAAGGCGTACTCTTATACATGTAGATCTGCCAGTATAGTATAAAAAATATACTAAAACCGGATTGGGTCACTTTACGACTTCTATAGCTTTTATGTATGCATCATGATCAACATCTAATGAAACTGAATTTTAAACTACAAGTAATTTTTAATTTTGTTACAGAAATATGAAGAAAAAGGATAAGGTGAACATCAACAGCATCAGTGGCAGCATGGTGTCAATGGGCCACGATGGGAGGTGAGTTTCATGGCGCGAATCACCTTGTAATTATAGAATATTTTTTATTAAATACTTCCTGGTACCCGGCGCGTTGCTGCCGGGTACCAGTACCAGTAGTACCAATATTTACTTGTGGAAATATCGTTTTAAATATGGAAGGGTTATATTGTTTAATTAGGAATGGTAATACATTCATTGAAATTGAATGATATTATATAACATCGGTACGATACGCGCGCCATCTACTGTAAGTTAATTGTATTATGCATATAACGTTCGCGCAAGTGCAAGCAATAAGCTATGTCTATACCGTGCGCTTTTCTTGTTCATCTTCGTCTTCCTCTAACGCATGCCTGAGCAACCATAGCGTATGCACTAGCGCTGCGCTAACTAGTTCGACAACAGCGCATGCATCTAGCGAACGCTGATCTGTCACCGGTGGGTTCGCGTGCAATATTTCGTGCATTTTAGTAAACAAAATGGCGGAAGACAAAATTAAATATGAGTGTTATGTTTCGTAATTTTTCTCTCCACTATTTTCAAAAGCTTGTAGAAAGTGGCTTTAGTCATTCGTGTGAAATGTTTAAAAAGAATGTCATTGTTTAGCTCTAAATCTTACAACATAATGTTGTTTCGTTTCATCAAAGAATCTTTCATCCAGATTTTCCTTTTCTTGCGTTTTTCCGTGCACTTAACACAAAATATGCAGCACTGATAGCTGCTAATGCCGCGTCCATCTCTAACCAAACCTAACCACAGAATAAATAATAGTACTAACGACCTAACCGAGGCCCGTGAGGTGGGTATAGACTGTGGTATAGACAAGTTGCATGTGACAAGCGCAGGGGTACTGCATGCGTCTTATGGCACAGCGCTTGACGAAAGACGAACTGAAAGTTGAAACCCAAAATGAAGATGAAAGCGAAATTGAAAGCGCACTGGTGTAGACTTAGCTATCAGTTGACAAAATTTTAGCGCAATCTGATGAACAGTATGGCGGCGCATAAAATACGGGCAAAGAAAAATTAATTTTTATATATTAGATAAATTAAACGTAGGCTTTTTGGAGGGATGTTGATACCGGCGAATCGCAGTTGCTGTTTTATCTATTGGTCGTTTATATAATGGTTTAAGTCGATTTTGTTACGTAAAAGATGTGTGACTTAGTGTGCTAAATGTCTGCGCATGTGAGCTATTAGCGGAAACGATGAAACAAGTGCTCCGATCTTGATGTGAACCTCAATATAAGGCGTTTTAATCTCCCAAAAATTGATGTGTGAAACATCAACATAGTATTAAGACGTTTTTAAATAAATAATTATTATAAAGGATAATTTCTTAAAGTCTAACAGTACGAGTTCATTACCGAAGAAAGAAAAAAATATACATTCATGTAATCTTTTTTCTTTCTTCAGTCTACTTAATGAAAATCATAGCTTTTACCTTTTGTTCAGAAAAAAGAGGGCCAACAAGAAACTCAGCGGGACTTCAATAATTTCCAATGTATGTGGTACGACTATAAAAAAACATTTAGAAACAGCATGCTAGCGATCGTCTCATTCCTATATGATGGCTGCAAGCAGCATTCAGTCAACTTTATGGTAAGTGGATGCTGCGGCCAATAGATAATGCTGTTTCACGCTGGTATTATGTGAGAACGTATGTGGGTCGGCTCAAGCCTATTTAAACGACCTTTGTGATCTTCGTTTAGAAGGTGGCAAAATTATCTCTTATACAGATGACACACGCTCTTGTTCTCAGCCGACAAGTGGGAGGATGTTTATAGAATGGCGCAGAAGGGTTTAATACTGTGTTACTGGTTAAAGTTCAATATGTTGACTTTAAACGCCGAAAAAACCGACTTCATACCTTTCTCTATGCGAAAAACCACCTCATCAACTCCTTCGCTTTCTTTGATTGCGCATGATTGCTGCAATGTTGACGTATGTCATTGCCCTTCACTGACTGCTACCAATATGGTTAAATATCTTGGTATTCTTATAGATAATAATCTTTTATTCCAACCTCATGTTAATTTAATTACTGCGAGATTGAGAAATCTGATATACGTCTTTAAAAATATAAGGAATGTGGCAGATCCTAAATTAGTTAAACAAATCTACCTGGCTCTTGGACAATCTATAATGGGTTATGGCCTTACTGTATAGGGAGGTGCACCAAAAACGACTTTTAAGCCACTTGAAATACCTCAAAGAGTTATTCTTAAAGTAAGCACTTTTCACCCGTATTTGTTTCCTACGTACATTCTGTATAAATCTTGTGAAGTCCTCTCAGTTCACGAACTGTTCATCCTGCTCACTATTACAAAACAACACGCAAGCTCTGATACAATTGCCATTTCCAAGCGCCGCAGAGATATAAATTTCCCCAATATACCAACATTTAAACATTAATTCGCAAAAATTCGCACATAAATATTTCCCCTTTTTGGGTCCATATCTATATTCTAAAATCAGCAAAGTTGTGGACATACGACGCTTAAATATTAGAGAGTGCAAAAGGAAACTATTTGAATATATTCGTAAACTGGACTATAATGAAACCGAACAATTACTTAATGTACCTCGTTAAATTTTATACTCAACCTCCTACACATATACACACACTGTCATACTACGAGTACACACAAGGAGATTTACCTACACTCTACAACTTTAAATTACTTATTGGTAAGTGATCTGTTATACAGTGAAATGTTTAAACTTAAAGGGAAGAGCGCTGCTGTCAGAAACAAAGATATTAAGTTATCTAGTTCAGACACAGATGTACACTGAATTTTATTTATTTTTTGTTAAGCTGTATCTCAAAGTGTTTGTATCATAGAAATTAAGATATACTTTTTGCTTGAAATAATAAAACAAATAATAAATTATTATTATATGTTCATAATATGTGTAGTATGGAAGAAAATAGAATAATTTTTATTCAACGTACATAGATTACAAGTAGTATTTGATTATGCACTGTCGAACACATAGGTAATCCTAATTGGCCGAGCCCGTGGCTCTTAACTTAATAGCACTTACTTTCAAATATTTAATAGTAAATCATGCAACGCTATCCAGCACCCAGTTCCGATACTAGTTCAGTCTATATAACTTACAAAGTTTTCTTATACAAGCTGTTCTAATATAATTCTACGTTTCTTTGATTTAATTTTATAGATTTGCGGGAATCGTGGTCATCATATTCGTAAAATATACAATATGTAGATTAAGCCCTGCCCGATCCGAAACGGACACTTAGTACCGTTATGACATCCTACTTAATATTATAAACGTGAAAGTTTGTGGGGATGTATGGATGCTTGTTACTCTTCCACGCGAAAGCTACTTAATGTATTTTAGTGAAACTTTACAATAATATAGCTCATATATCAGAACAACACATAGGTATTGGTAAAATATTACGATGTTGTGTTAAGTCGGAAAAAATCTGTCATCTGCGAGCTATTTTGGCGTGCGGTGAAAAAACTATAAGAGTTTTACAAATATAATGTATGGTGAAGTTGTTTCTCCTAAATAGTTCTACAAAAAAGTCCGCGCCAGTATATATCTATCTTTTATGTGTAAGCCATTATTATCAAAATAGTGAACCATAGATACAATAAAATTTGATACATTATTACCAATGCATGTTTTGCAGTAACAAATTGAGTTTATCAAAATACAAATACAAAATATAAATACTTTAATCGCTTCTGATATCCAGAGTAGATAAACTTAGTCTTTTAAGGCGACACCGCGAAAAAATGCACCTCCTTTCATCGAATAGTATGGGAGTATGACACGACTAACGAAACTGGAATTTTGATATAGGTAAATTCATGTCTTTATCTTGAGTTTGCTTGCTCAAAAACACGATTGTAAAATTTTGACTCGATTATAATAATTTGCGAAAACACCTCAAAAAATGACTATAGTTGAAATTACAACGAAATTACTTAATCTATATTCTTGGAAACCACTCAAATACATTCATAAGATCAATATTCGTAATTTACTTGCTCATGATTTTGATTACTAAAATCAATAATTTTTTTAAATATTTTAAGATTCTACGCCATTTCTAAGCGGTTTTAATCGTCGCGGGCGCTACGCAATTTTAGACCTTATGACGGCGTTTTTGAAGTTTTTATATAAATTATGTTTTACTCTGGTTAGTCCGGCGATAGCCCGCTTCAACGGTTTTCGATGTTTGGTCAAATATTTCAAAAGTAATGACGATACAACATTGTGCTTGTCCGGCGCGCGCAGGCCGGTCGGGTGTACTGTGGGCGAGGTGGGGGAAAATGAACCGATTTCGACGAAATTTGGTGTCGAGGTAGTCTAAGTCCCGGGGAAGGAAATATGATAGGAAATCATCCCTAAAGAGGGTGATGGAATTTACTATGAAACCTATGGTTTAAAGTATAATATCCACGCGGACGAAGTCGAGGGCAAAAGCTAGTAACCAATAAAATTTAAAACATCATACCTATCTGTATACAAAAAATCAATAGCTGTCCGTTAGTCCCGCAAAAACTCGAAAATGACTGGACCTATTTTGATGAAGTTTTTAGCTAGGTTTACGTTATCAGCTGAATACCGCATTGTTTAATAAACGAAACTAGACTCTCAAGTTAACAACACAATGTAGGTACGTGTACTTGAGATGCTAAAATCTGAGTGCATGCGGTCCGTGACTTTAGGTCGTGATTATGGTAGCGTGAATCATGGAGTTTGAAAATATTCTGAGTGAAATTAATAATAACTATGAAATAGAGTGCTATTACGATATTTTACGGACTGCGCGAAATCGTTTACTAAAAATGTATATAGGGGTAGCCTCGAATTATTTTGAATTACGATTCCTTTGAGGCGCGCCATCGGTCTTCTTATTTTCCACCACTACCCTATATTTTTTATAATATCGAGAAAACATTTTTCTCAACTTTTGTGTAAAATTAATTTTACCCGAGATAAGTAAACAAGCAAAGGGTTTAAAATCACTACATT